TGCCTTGCAATGCCTCCAGAGGAACGCACGATGATTTTCATTATCAACAGTATTGAATGTGAGCAAATACCTCAACATGGGGCAATATTGAAACCTTTGGGTGCTTCTTTCGAGAAACAAACTATGAGGATTTTAGGTTAAACAAATGATACTCATTGTTCTTACTGCGGCTCGTTCGGTCGTTCAGTAGTTTGCTGGGCTATTGAGATAGAAGAACCGAATATCAAAGCTGAGGAGAGAAGGCTACGCAAGCAGAGAAACCTGGATGCTCAATTATAATTCAGTCCGATTGGATTAAGTAGAACGAAGACGGCGAACGGCAGCCGCAGTCTAGCGATCCTCGTTCAGTACCAGGTCTGGCCTTAGACACAGATCTACTCCTACCCCTAGCCAGCCTGTGCATGCCTTCGGCAATCCAGTTAGAGTGAACCAACCTCCATCGCGGACACAGGAGACGACAGAGAGGACATACACACAGAGGAAGTGCGAGGGCTAGATCCATCTATACTTGTTGTCCTTCGCATCAATGCGCGACTGTTCAACTCGAGAACGACTGACTAGGGCTATAGAACGACTGTGCTGCTGCTGGTGCTTGCGGATGCGTTGGATAGAGCATGAGATGATTCTGTTTCCCCTGTCTGATCTTGCTTTCGTCTTTTTGCACCACAGGTCTTTTCATTGTCGATTGGCTGACGATCACTCTTACTGGTACTACTTGGAGCAGCGTTTGCTGTCCTTTCAGTCTAACCCAATAAGCACTACCGAGATATGCGCAAATATAAGAGCTACAAAGAAACTTTTAGTATGTGCCAGTTTAGCTGAAATCGTACATATGTGTACAAGACAATACAATGATAAAACGAGCTACACTGGACAACACACAGGCACAAACAAAAATCCGACCAGTCTGTATGTAGATTTTGCCTGAACGATATATAAATATATGATAAGGTACGCAAAAAATACTATCCAGCCAGATTGTTATCGTGCAACGGCATGTCATTCGTAAATTAAAAATTAATGGAAAGAATTTTTCCTGTAGAGCTTTCAAAGTTGCGTCGCTTACGAATTGCTTATAAAATTAAGTATCTTCGATTCTAATTGCTTCACGATATTTTGGCCTGCGTTAGGACGTTGGTAATTCGCTGCTATTTACTATGCCGCAGACTCAAGCGTTCCTCGAAACTATTCATACAAGTAATCGAAACATATTAAATGCCCACTTTTCGTTTCCCTTAAATTATTCACCACATCCCTATAGTAAGATGATTAATTTTTATTCAGCTTTCGCTAAGCGGTGTAGCATTCTGTAACTCCAAATAAAATCGTGGCCTAACTAAGGACGACGAATGGCAAATTTTGCCCACTCATGATAGCGACACTTCTAACCCATTCAGTCACAGTCGGAGGCTTCTACGATCGGACTGCTATTTGAAAGTAGGGTACTATTCATTTTTGCACTCGCGTTGTTGTTATGCTGCCTGGTGTCATCGCTTGCTGCTGCAAGCTATTGTACGGCTACAGTATCGTCGCATTGTGCAAGTAGCAGCTAGCAAAGACGGTTGTTGAAAAAGAAGGCCAGTGGATCGTGGGTCGATGTTTAATATTTGCACAGTCCTTACTATGCATTGCGTACATTACATTCGTTGCAGAGAATAAACAGGCGTGGCATCCCAACCCGTAGTGTATATAGTCCTGTACCCACTGGTATCGCTTGCGTGTCCATCTGGCCTTATATTACTTATTCAAGTTCGGTGAAGCTACCAGTCAACATTTTTAGTACGCTGTCTCAGGTAATGCCAGTGATATCAACATCAAATGCACATCTTCGAGGATATACCATTATTTAAAATATTATAAAACACTTCTATGAAAGACGAAAACCAAATGATATCTAGTAATTGCAGTGACTTACAAAGCTAATACTGGCGCACGTTGAAGTGCGCCTCGAACGGTTGCCCAAACGGAGCAAGTTGGACGAGGAAAGTGCGAGGGATTTTCTAGTCTCCAACCATCCTCATTTCTTCGCTTAGGGAACGAAAGCGTAAGTGGGGACATAATGGGGCAAAGCCCTCGGGCCATAGATGGGACAGTGGTGAGCGCAAGGGGGCCCGAAACAGGGAATAATATGCGGCGTACTAAGTAATCATACAGGGCGAACAGTGGAGAGCACTAGGAGCCACGGCACACCACAGAAGGAAGGCAGCATCACCGACAACAGCGGGGGCGTTCGGAAGGCATAAAAGAGTGCGGGAGGTGAAAGAAGGAAGCGTAGGGATCGAGATTGGGTAGAAAAAGGTAGTAGTACGATGGTTGGGGCGTTGAAGCTGTGTGACATCCTCGCAAGTGGAGAAAACGACTTTGAAGGAGATCGCCGATTCCTGAACCGACGACGACGACGACGGTGTGTATGTGTGCAAATATGTTTCTCTTTCTCGTTACCATTCGTGTTATATTGCACTTCTTTTTCGATCTCCTCTCGTCTGCGTTGCGACAGAAAAGATCACAACAGCTATAACATCGGTGTTGTCCATGCTGTGTTGGCCGTCGACGCAGTTTGGCAGCGGAAGTGATACGGATGGCGACGGCATGATTTTCTTGCCGAAGAACGACCAGTCATTAAATGGCCTAACAAGTAAAAACAAGCAAATTCATCTCTACAGTCTACAAGAAACGGAGACAATAGAAATGCTGTTGTGCTTTTCTAACGCTTGACTGTCGAACGGGCGGCAGATGCCGTCGTCATTAGGGAAATGGGTTAACATTCGACCTTAAAAGATCCTCGGTTTATTAGAAGGTAACGAGATTCCCACAAACTTTTTGCGTTTTTGACTAAAGAGCTTTTACTTCGACTCTCTATCTCATAGTTTTATGACAGCTCGAAGATGCGAAAGACAATTTTTGATGAATATATGTTGCCAACTGAATATTCTAAGGCTGGCGGCAGAAAAACTACGCGGTCTCTGTAGTCTACGAGCGGCCGCAGCAAACCAGCAGTCTAATATTTGGGTAATAATAATAATACAGAGTCCAAAACAGGTTATCCTTTTGAGCAATCGACTGAGTTGCCGGTTGAAAGGCGACGTTTATGAAATTAGCATAGAGAACAGATTTCACGTTTTCTCGTATGGAAAGAAGCTTTATTTTCTTTTCTTTTTTTTTTTTTGTATACAAACCCTTTTCAGATGCAGTTATTTTTTTAAGGATATCCGTGTCGCCGTTCACTGTTGAGCAAATCATTTCTGCTGTCACGAGGCGTTCACCTATATGTATTTTAGAGTGAGCTCGAGCTTGGGGGACGTATTATGGCGTTATACAGCCCTGCATAACAGTTTGACATTGCATTTGTAAATGCGTAGAGGCTACTTTTAAATTAAAGCGTTCTTGAAGCGAACCATGAATGGGCTAGTTAACGTCCGCTGGTAACCGTAACAAGCAGCCATTGAAATTACACGTAGCAGCAATATAATACTTCCAGAAGAGGCCTCACTACCCCATTAGCTGTTGTTGCGCATTCTATGTAAATAAATAGAGTTTATAATCACACTGGTGATTGCCGTTGCCCTCCGTGAATAAACAACTTTCATAATAAGGGGCTTTAATGATCTTTGTAGCAGATTGGCAAATGAGCATTACTTCAGCTTTTAACACACTGACAGATATCCAATATTTTACACTAACTTTATTCATAAGTTGAGTCGCGTATGTTTCGACCAGTGAGGCATCATCACTGGCTTTTCTCAGGCACGGCCAAACACTTGTTTACAGTACGGATGTGAATTCATGACGCACATACTCTACATAGAGCTAAGGTCAGAAAACAACCTATAAATTACTGCGCGGAGGACAAAAGCCGTTCTATTTTTAGAAGCATGAGGTGAGATGAGGAAGAAACAAACACAAATCCTCGAATGATCCGACTAGTAGCAAAAAGACGACTTGTCAGTTATCTAAAGTTGAGCTTTCTATGTTTCCCTATACGAGGACTGGTGCACATAGGAGCAAGTTATTCTAGATTAATATTGTGTAGAGAGCATTGAAGTGGTTAGCAGTTGTAACCGACGATTTGGTATAATACGCACTTCCCAGAATAGCCCTAGGCGTCTTCCCTTGTCAATTGCTATTAGCTAGTTTGCTTTTTGTCGCATACCTTATCTTCTGCTGCTGAGAGCTATTTGGTAGGTTTAGGGGAAATAGCTTAAACGTACGTTATAAGTCGTTGCCTAAGGGTGCGTCCTTAAAGTCTGCTTGAGTTGAGGAGATTGGAATTAAGAAGATTGGAATGCTTAGGTACGCCGTCCAACGCTTTTAATTGTTCTGGAAAACTTTTTCAGCATCCGCCGTCCTTAGTAGGTTCACCTATGTTATGACTTAGCGGTACTCGACAAGCACATCGATGACTTCAATGCGAAATCTATTAAGGACTCATATAAAATTCACGATGCGTCCTCACAGTGCGTGTGTAGGCCGTTATATATTATCATCAATCATTTTCCGCTTAATTTAATAAAACGTTTCTCAAATAGGAAATGAAGATATTTGGTAAGACTGATAGCAGCAATAACAGTAGGCTTCAAATTCGTCGGAATCCAAGTTATACCATGCTTATTTCTCACTTGATAGGGGCTCCGTCTCTTCTCGAAAAACGCCAGAAATTCATTCCAGACTTCGATTTGTTGCGGTCATGTCTCGCGTGCCAGAAACCGTAGCAGGTATTATATTTGTTTGCTTTTCTTTATATAAGCAATAATGATATGAAACTACCGCATAATGTTAATTCAGTTATTTACTGTAATATAAATAGGTCAATATTATCAATTGACCTGTTGATCGTGGGGCATATGTCGGCTTTTACAAGGAGCATTGGCTTTCTAAGAAAAAGCCTTTCGGGTGGAGAGAAGGTTATCGCTGACGTCATGTTCTTCCCTACCTTCTTCTTAATGCGATAGTTGATAGTTTCGTGTAATGATAATAACTGCACATCCCCGTAGCCACGCAACTCAGATGAGTTTCACCGATCATCGAGATGACTGCTAAACACTGCATCCTGCGAGATGTGACGCTAACTCTTCTCTTTTGTGTTGCTGTTTTAATGCTTCTCTTTACTAGTTCGTTTTCTTGGGCAGCTAATACCAACGGTACGTATTACACAACTTTTCGATTCACAATTTTGGTGTACGCTAAGAAAGACTCTAGTAATTTTAGGTGTTATCTATGGTACACTGCTTCTTTTGTGTTCCTGCTTGTAGGTATCTATTTAAATCCTCTCGATGCTTATAGTAACACAAATGTTACATGTGGGCTCGTGTAAATAAGAATAAACGAAAACGTATTTTTACGAAGAAAGCTATGAGGACTTACTATATATGTCATCGCCACATGCGATTTTATAAATGGAACTGCATTTCCATCGTCGCTAAGTACAGCTGTTTCCAATCTATCAGAAATAAAATTAACACATATTACCATATGTAATTCGTCTATAATTTATAAGCAGATTTAGATATTTTTAGTTTCTCTATAGGGTAATAGTTAGTTTATTAAATGAGATAAGGACCGAAAATATTTCACCGGACATGGAAGCCCAAGGCTGTCTGATTTCAATATCTTAATTAATGGCATTCCCGTATGTTGTTGTACTTGCACCACAGCTACCTTCAGAGGCAGGAAAAGATACCCATCCCATAGATGCCCATAGAATAGGCATTGTGCTGAAAACTATTAAAGATCATTGAGAAGCTAAGGAACCTGCGTATGACAAAAAGCTCACTACGGCCTCGGAAAATGAAAAGTTTTAGTCGATGATGATGATGATGACGGAAGGGGGCCGCATATAAAAATAGTCAATGTTCTTCAATACTCGAGCCATACCCAAACAAAACATACATATTTAGTTCCCAAGTATATGTTTGCCCATATACTGACAATATATAATGCATGTTATATCTCACCGCTGCTTTTACAGGATGTTCGTTCGGTCCGGCAATGTGTAATCGTCATTGTTTGGGACTGTCCCGCTCCGGCGGGTCCTGTGAATTAAATAGTTCGAATACACCCTTCGAGATACGATGTGTTTGCTTCGATAAGATATGATATCTACTAAGACGCCAATATATCGCAATTCTTATCAGTTGATATTTGCATTTGATCTTCATTCATGAGTAAATGATGCTGAATCAAATTCCGTAAGTGTTTTATTAAATAAAAACATACCTATTTTAGTTAAAGTATCATTAATTATACTTGCTGTGATGTATGATAAGCGTTTACAAAGTGTAGCATCTACTGACGGCTCTCCTTTTCCGAGAACAGCATGAAGCAGCACCACAATACCAAACTCCTAGAAAGGTTACTCGAGTTTCGGCAATATTATGAAGTTTCTCTAGGAACAAATAAGATTTGAAGTTCACCTTTCAATTTGACGTCTCACGCGACTGAAGGGAGACAACAATGCTTCATCGTTACAACGGAAATGACCACTACTACGCATTACATCTCAGCTAAGGTATAGTAACGTCAGCAATCACCCGTCTTTTGCTTGGTGTAAGAATAAAAAGGACAGAGAAAGGCATATATATATATATATATGCGCCTTTCTCAATCCTTTATATATATATTATTTATGCATTTAGCTTAGCTGGAAGATGCGCAAACGCAGCGCTCCCCATCGCTCTATCTTTATTCCTGAGCTGCTGAATTAATTTGCTCCCAACGATCCGTTATTCAGTAACCCGACATTTTTCCAAATCGCTAAAGAAAAGGGGTGTAGAACAATATAAACTAAGGCAATGATACGCATATAGTCAAGTAGAGAGGTACTGAAGAGTGTTTTAATTGTTGAATTATTTAGTAGAACCAATTTTCAGTTTCAGTGGTTTAGGTAAGTGAAGACAATCATGTGAAAACCGTTCACGTACAGAACTATATCTCATATAGAATATGATTGGTCGTACATTTTACCTAACAGATGAATTGTTCTCGATTTTTCAGTGATAAAAGCCTGCTTTTACCAGAACACAATTAAAACAACATATTAGCAATGTTTGACCTTAAAAAAACATGTAATTTTCTGTGGGAAAACTAGAAAAAAACTAAAATGTATCGCCCGTGTTTATTTTTAATTAATGCTTCTTGTTCAGTTGAATCCGCTGACAATTCACACAACAGTTTTTGCTCAGAGCAGATGATTTTATCCCGGAACCAATACCTGGTGTGGAATGGTGCTACAGTTGACACTGCAGCTCCTTCATGCGGCGACCTTGACGACCTCCCACCGGGGCATGCACTCGTAATAGGGGAGCAAACTAAATTACAAAGACGACTCTTTCATCATTTTTGCCCGTTGCCGCATGAGACGCCAACCCCTAATTCGCTCAAGGGATTTAGGCCGTTTAGAAGACTACACAGTTTTTGCCGACACGTGCAACATGCACGACGAACATTACGGAGTTACCTTTCTTTGTGATAGTTCTTTTCTGATAGATGACCTATAGATATGGTAGTAAGTGATGTTAGGTATCTAAGAACTGTTGAGTAACTCTCGTAAATATCGTTTTCAGTTACTGACTTTTAAAGGTATAGATTGTAAAGGATTTTTCAATGAATGATAGATACAAACAATCCTTACTTATTTACACTATCTGAGAATGTATCTTTTCTATATGTGGTACATATGGTAAAGTTGGCTGGAGTTTCGTCCTCAATGACTGTTATTTATCTGTTAAACGGCCTGTTCAATTAATTCCACCACATAGGAAACACTACTCGTTATCTATTTGGTACATTTCTGTACTTCAGCGCCTCGGTGCCTGGTGATTACGTTGTCACTGCACTATCACTTACGGCTTCAAATCAGCTTCATACTTTTAATGTAGCTGTGAAAAAAACAGCAATCCAAGTAAACTGTTGTAAATATGTTTTTGAAATAAATTTGTCATACTATTTGCTAAAAACCAAGAGATCGATGATCGGTATATATGAAATCTTAATAATTCGATAGTGTTGTAGCTGCTCTGATGGTTATCATAATTATCGACTACAACAACGTAAAAATAGCTAAATGGTAGCTATAAAACGAAGAGACGAGTTAAAATTGTATTAAAACGCAGAGTTCTCCCGAATTTCACTTCAAAAGCTGCTTCAAAAGGATTTGATATTAATTGTTTGATAACCCAAAATATTGAATTGGCCACGCTGGTTTGTAACTCCTTTCTCTGCTATTTCATCGCTCAGACTTTGAATTTTGGCATAAAGCTTTAAAAACCTTAGTTTTTTTCCGGCTACTATTTACTTCTCTAAGTTCAGACTCCACTTCCTTAAAACAAAATAGGTAATATATGTAGATCGAGAGAGAGAGGGGGGAGAGAAAGTATTAGAGCAGTTCATTATGTCAATAGGTACATCTATTTTTTAGTGCCGCGGGAATTTTAGTTTGCAATTAATCTATGAGCACAGTAATCATAAAACATAAATCGACTGCAATCTTTTGCAAATTTCCGTAGCATTCATATTGCATCTCTTGGCTTAGCAAAGGTGTTCTTGAATCGAACGGAACCTCTTGCGTTACCATACAGAAGTGCTTCGGAGTAGTTAATTATCCTCTTGACGGACTGGACTTAATTTTTTGAGCTATCTGAAAAACCGATCCCTTCCATTCGTCCACTATCATCTTCTTCAGGCGGGTTCGCTTTGAAGTCGTACTAAAGGAACTCAAACATACGACAAAGAACGATCAGTCTTCCTGTATCCCGCACTTCAAAGTACCAATGTCCGATCGTTGTCCTGTCTGTGTGAATGGCTCAAGTTTTTTGGATGTAGACACTTCAGGAAGGATATGATGCAGCAGAAACAAGAGTATGCGAAGGTACAGCACTCAACTCAGAATCGGCCCTGCTTGAATCTGTACAGGCAGCGGAGGACCGTTTATACTGCTAGCCTTTAACTTTTGACTATCTTATCAATACGAGCTTGTTAATCCTTTTGCACGCCAGACAAAATAGTGTAGGTGCATTTGTCGTTTTACTGTAGTGTCTGTTCGTCCTCTGTCAATTCAACTTTCCGTTATAACTCTGGAATTTGATTTAAAGATGTTCGTAAGCAATTGCTGAAATGTCCACAAAGCAATTGCTGCAGACTTCGAGGCTTGCTTCCAAACCAACTAGCAGTGGCATTTTTCAGCCGGCCCGTCCAAATCAATTCAACTGTAAATATCTTTCCGCCCCTTTGGGTTCTGATGACAGATTTCTCATCCTCTCTGTTGTCCACTGTCACTCTCTTAGAGAGTTTCACTGCTGTTCATGTACAAGTGAATAGCACCCCGATGTTCTCTATTCGCGTTCCTGTCGCCTCCTGGTTCGTCTCGTCAAATTTCATCGTTCACTGAGATTGCAATCCCGACGCTTGGCCGAATCCAGATGGGGGTCATACCTTCAAACTGGCACCGTCGCTGTTACCGGCACTGTTGTCGTCTCCGCCTGAAGTGGGCACTTGCTTGTGGCACGCTCTACCTTTTCCGCGCTGCGCGTCAGCGAACCGGGAGCTAGAGCGCGACGAATGTGAAGAATGACTGCTGCGCCTATGGCCAGTAGCGAACTACACCTAGGAACATCAGAGCGAACGCTTGATTTAATTCGAAATTACATAATCAGTCTCTCATAAGCCATAAAGCTGACGACGATGATGGTGGTGATGAACACCAGAGCTAGCCGAATCTAAGACAGGTGCTTCGAAAGCTAGCCAGATTTTCTGATTACAAATCCATACATATATGGCATATACCAGACAGCAAATAGTGTTCAATATCGTGCCCAGAGCTAAATCGCTACTGGCTCAGGTTAAAGATAAGCAATCATCTCACCAACGAAAGAAGCGAGATCTTGATTTCGCCACTTCGCACTTTTGCGCTTGTGATTATTGTCGGTAGACAGTAATCGTTCCTACTGCGTCAACATAGCCCAATTCATGTTATAATTTACTAGCGAAGTGAAAAACATGTGCTATCGTAGCGACCGTGTATCTTTGCCACCTCACATGCCAATAACCAGGTTCAATGTAATCTAGGCAAGGAAACAGTGTGGTACCTCTACGTGCATCTAAGTAGATTCATGGATATCAGTACAAGGCCCATGTAGTGCATCCATCAATAATAATAATAATAGAGTATTATACACAAAGCCACTCGTATCTTACAATATTCATTCAAATAAAACCTCCCTTTGCAAAAGCCAATACCTTGCTAAATCTTCATTTACTTTGATTCTCACGGTCAGAGCATACGATTGTTACAGTGAATACAATATAATCAGTTTGACGATCATACGCCGGTGAAAAGAGCCGTTGAGACTTCAACGGGCCACCATTTAGCCGTTTGTTGGACGACGTTTTCTTTCAGCTGAGTGATTATCCCTTCAACGCTCCTATTGCTAAATGGTATCTTCATGTCGCTATAGATGGACAGCTACTGCCTACCCTAAGGAGAAGCTAAGGATGAAAATCAAGAGAGCATGAAATCGTCATGATCTCCCATCGTCCGGATTAACTATCCGCTGGATATACGCGTCCGCATGTACGTCTGTTGTCCCCTCTCGTCGCTCTCTCAGTATGTATCCGTCCGTCGCTGTCCTTGTGGAACTCCATTGACATACCTAATTCCTTTTGCTTTGCGTTGAATTCAAGTTAAAACTTTACGATCAGGAAGCACTGTGAAGTAACGATTTGCAATCTCAGTTGCTGAGATCGGGAAGAATCTATGGAGGATACAGCAAAAATGAGTGAAACAAAGCCGGTAGTTTTTTAGTCATAAATTAAAAAGAGCGATCATTTCTATTTATCAAAAGATGTATACATAGAAACGACACCTACTTATTTCTATATGTAAATGTGGTTATTGACGAAAAATCTGTATACATTTTTTGCTTTTACAGATATACACGGTCATATTACATATAGTTGAAGTCAAGCTCTGCATCGAGGCAGAAGTAAGCAGTTTCCATGTATATATCTAACAAGAGACCGTTATTTTCAGTTATTACATATACAGAAATATATATTTGCCCATTTTCTCTATATGTACACAAGCTATCGAAAAATTTATTCAGCACAGACCTCAAATTCAATTAAAAACTGCCCTCTAATCCTCTCCCTCTCCACCCCCTCTTATTAAAATTGCAAGTATTATTTAAACCATTTTAATACGATAAAACACATATGCATTTTTAAATTTGTTTAGATAATGGTATTCCTGGGTTCTGTGGGAACTTACCAAAGACTTCTGCAAAAAGCGGAGATTCTGCAATATATATATATATATATATAATGGCACTACCTTCTATCTAAAATGGGGACTGAATGGATCCTCAGTGCAGAAAGTCTAAATACAATAATTAAGACTAATAAGATTAATAACTAGGTTAGAATGTTTAAAATCACAGAGAAATTCTTATAGTCAGCAGTCCAGATGCGTTCCTTCTCACACACAAACGCTCTCTGTTTCGAATTTGACGTCCGGTTTCGCCGTTAAGCGTAGCTCCATCAGGCGACTGGCTCCCAGCATGAAACGAACCATGTATCTATGCCTGGGTCGGAACCGAGACCACAACGTGTTCCAAAGATTAGCGGGCAAATACGTTTCCCACTAAGCTACCACGGGAACACAAACTCTAGTTTTAATTTTCTAGTTCTCTGTGAGGCAACGTATTGCTGCTGCTGCTGCTATTCCAGAGTATCAATAAGCAAACTTCTTCTTTTGTTATTATAGGCAAAAATTCGAAAAACTACTTAGCGACCTCAACCGCTATTAATTTTGCTTTACTGTTTCATTTTATATTTCTAGTGCCTTTCGTATGCGCTTGTATTGGCGTTCTAATATAGCTCATCTCCGTTATCTGAGAGCTAAAAGGACGGCTTATCGGAGAATCCTATCTAAAACCTACCGCATGTCTCACTGCGGCAACGGCGCACAGAAGCCTGATGGTTGGGGAGATCCTTCATATAAAGCCACCACATAGCGAAACGAGTAATATTTCGGGCTAACTGTTCTTAGCGAGTTCTAGTTGTTCCCAACACCAAATGGATGAGCATTTCAGTTGCTCTGTACCATAAAAGCTCAATCCGCATTTGGCTAGCCCAGCTGTTTGCAAGAAAGCGAATCAACGAATGTTACGATTTGTCGCAATTGGATTTACGAAAGGATCATCTCTTATCCTCAAACGATAATTGGGCATATGCATCGTTTTACTATTGGCGGTTCGTGAGAGCTGGAGTATTGCGAACAAGCGGACCGTCTACAAAGCACTGAGTTGGCCTTTTTCTAGTTCGTTGATCCTAGACAGGGCAGGTAAAAATACAAAAGATCGACTATTATCTAGCTTCTTTTTTCACGAAGCAATAACGAATTTCAACTGCGACAATCCCCAGCCGATTCAGCAGCGGCGACGCCAAACAATACATCAAATAGGAGTGACACGCTTCGTCCAGTCCGATCACGTCGTTTACGGCGTACGCAAATCTATTGCAAAGGGTAGTCTTCTTCTCGAAGCGGCGCGACTATCAGTTATAGAGACGATACAGTCCTGCAGTAATATTTGTTTGTCGCTCACTATTTGTTTCAATACAACCAACTATAGACGATAGTGACAAATGGATTATTTATGACTTCATGTGGAAAATCAATCTAAGAAAAATAATTGCTTTTCCGTGGGAAGCACAGGATGCAAAACGACAAATTCATTGAAGAACAATTGAGCTAACACTGTTTTGATAACTACCTTTTGTTAATGATCGAATTCTGCGAATAGTGAGAGCGACGCAGAAGCGCACAATTTTTTTATATTGTTCTTTTTTTCGAACGTTTTCACATCGTTGTCAACTCAAAAAGTGGTAACGTGCGACATACCATGTCGTTCTTGTCATGCACACT